ACATACAACTTTGCACCTGCAGTGTGTGCAACTTCATAAAAAATACTGAGAAAGACAAGTTCTGATTAAGAGTCTGTTGGGTCTTTTGAGGACCTTCTTGAACTTGGGAAGGTGGGGGGTAACCTTTAAAGTAGTGGGCAGGGGGTGGGGTACTGTCATGCTCTTTGGGTTTTGGTTCGGAGCTTGAGGATATTGTTCATGTTTCAAAGTTTTTCAGTTATGTTTCTATTTGTTGTACTTGGATATTTTCCATGGATTTAGTGTTTTCCGTTTTGCTTGGTTTCCTTTGCCACTAGCCATCATCTCCTGACTTCCCAGCAACATCACAGCTGCAATTCATCGTCTCGCTAACCTCACCTGCTCCTTATTTTAGCGGCTGCCACTCCCAATTTAAATAGCCCTTTCTGTTTTAAAACCAGTTTGTCAGATCCTACTTTAGTTGCTGTTTCTTTTTGCTTCATTTCATCTGCTTTGCTCCCCATGTTTGCATTTGTTGTTTTGTTTTCGAACCCTACAATGGACCTGTTCAGGGTGTACCCTGCCCCTCCACACACTGACTGCTGGATATTTGCACCGGTGACCACCAAAGGAAGAAGCAGTTTATTTTTTATTGTTATAATATTTGCTGAATTTAACATCCCTGGTTTGATGTTTGCATTTTGGTTGTCCCAAAACCACATTACCATCACAGTTTACAGACCAACTTACACTGTGCAATTTCAAAAATCATAAAGGACTTGTCACACTCTGCCAGATGCTGGATTATTCTGGTCATAGCAGACTCACGTTCCTTACARAGATATCCGTCCAAAAACACATGGAAAGAAATCATTGACGTTAATGCTCCTATTATTATATTTGGACTTATAAAAGATGAGAAAAAACAGCAGCTGTGGACGTGCTCATGGTTGGAAAAAACTTGCATCATTAGTGTAGAAGCCACAAGATTATTATTGTTATTTTATATATGAGTAGACACATTTATTCCTGAATGTTGCAAAAAAATATACCATATTTAGAACAGGAAATTGCATTGTCAGTACAAAATCAGATTAATATCAAATCGAATAGTTAAACCAATTACAATATTCATGTGATATAGCTCAAGCTTTACTATATGTTTTTATTTTTGCTGTTTTGTTTGTTTTGTTGTGGTCTTAAACCAAAGGAGAAATGTGTTGTGATCTGTTGAAAAGTGACTTTAAAATACTGTGATGCCTCATGCTTTCAGTCAGTTTGCTGGGATTTCTTTAGGGGCGTGCCTCCCAACTGTGCAAAAACCTGAAGAGTGAGAAGTGTTTTTTTTTCCCCTCCCAACCATTTAACCAAACATCTGTTTGGAATTTGGTGGAGAAATGGGAGGGTGAGCGTGAATTAATAAGTGATGGAGGTGTGTGTGAGTGCTTGTGCAAGCATTTCACCAACAGCTGAGGAGTGGAGAGAGGGAAATAGCCTTGAGTATTTCCTCTCAGCAACCAGTACAGTAGCTCCACTTCCTCTGTTTTTGTGTATGTTTGCATGAAATGGGTGTGCCCCCCTTTATGTGCTCTACGGGAACTCAAAACTATGATAGCAACCACAGGGACACGCACACACACTGAAAAATGCATCCTACAAACATCATTAAGAACACAAAACTTGGAGAGCAAAACAGCAACAGATTCAYCTTCAAAACAGTTTAGGAACTTGTGTTTTAAACACAATAGATGTTTATTTCCAATTTTCTCCCTCGTGATAATTTCCTAAGCAGCCTAAACATAATTAAACTGTTCTTAAGTATCAGCTGAGATTGTGGGATTGGAATTTCATTTTATTGTTAGAAATAAAACACTTTAAAGGGGTCAAATTTTGCAGTCGTGTTGATTAAAGGTGTAAGGTTCAAAGGTGAAAATAAATGTCCCAGCTGAGACCTTACAAGGACAACCACCAAGGTACAGGTGGTCTCAGAGTTCACCTTTCTGTTGTCGTTAAACAAACCCAGAGGCACTTCTAAATGAGAGCATTCACATAGCTGTGTGAGTGGAACACACTAATGAATTTCTCTGATTTGACCTGTATCACAGCAGTGCCTTTACAAAGTCTTCCAGCTGTTGAGTCAGTCGTGCCGATGTCCAAAATGAAAATGAGTATAAACCYGTGTTTCTGCATTAAACTGTACCTGGAGCCCCAGTTTGCTGAGTACCTTTTCAGTGGCAGTTTCACAGAGCTGAAGTGAATTTGGAGAACTCAGGAGGAAGGTTACATTTCTCAACTGTACTTCCTGTGATGAGAAGTCAGAAATCGATTCTCTTCACAACATTGCAGTTTCCTCCTTACTGCAGATGCATTTAAATGTTGACGGATGAAAATGACAGATTCAAATTGCATCACTTAAATTATATTTGAGGAATCCTATTTTATTTCTCATCTGGGTGCTGCWGTAGCCTGGTGGTCAGTGTCACTGGCTGTGTCTCAGTTCATGGGGCTGCCTCCTCATAAGTGTTCATTTATTTTGCTGCAAACGTCACTGCCCTGTGCCGAGCCGAGCGCTGTCCCAATTCGAAGGCTGCTCCTCATGTGGCAGAGGAATGTGGAGAAAAAAATCTCAAAAATCATGGATGTATCCGGGTATCCTTCCCAGCCGAGTATATCCCAGCATTCATGGCGCCGACAGCAAATTAAACAACAAAACGAAGATRGTGGAGTTTTTATTTTTTTATTTTTTACCATGTAGGCATAGTTTGGAAATTCATCACGGACTGAAGAATTTGTTCTTAAATGTAAGTTTAGCAGCTTAGCTGATGAAATTCATGCTGCAATACGATGTTAAATAAAATGCAGCTACAAGTACTGATCAGGGTTATTATAGTTAACTAAAGCTAACCAAATGATGAAAACTGAAATTGAAATAAACGTTTTAGTTAACTAAATTAAATAAAAACTAATAAAATAAAAAAAACTAACTAAAACTGTATGATCTTTTTACAAAACTAAAACTAACTGAAATTATAGACAGAATATCCTTAGTTTTAGTTTTTGTCAATTAATTTAGAGCCATGTGGATCTTTTTTTTAATAAAGTAGCTTCACATTAGCTGTGGGCCGTAACACTTGTTTACAGACTGCTGTTCAGCATCGCCTGCTAAATAATGACAGCTAAAGTTGGGAGAAAGCGGCGAAGTTCACTTTGGGATTTCTTTGAATATGATGCGAGAAAAATCAAAGCAAGTGTCTTGTAGTGGAAACAGGTGATAAAATAGGTGGAATACTTCTCAAGGGAAAAACTGCATGAATCAAGCTCACACAAGATGCTAACTATGATTATCTTTACACGCTAGCTTCTTTCAATAGCTCATGTGAAAAACAAGCACCAGGTTGGRGAAAATATTGTCATTATCCTAAAATAATCACTCTTAGTTTGCTAAAATGAGTTACACAATTATTTTAGGAAGGTGTTGCTAAATGGACTGCTTTAACTAGTAGGGGTGTAAGAAAATGTCGATACACTGAAATATCACGATATTTCATTTCCCGATACTGTATCGATATTCTAAAGCCCTGTATCGATATGTAATTAAGKTTTAAAATGTCAACTTTCCTGCCAGCCGTTCATTTTTATGTTGTAGTTCAGCCTCTGACCACTAGTTGGCAGCAGTGAGCCAGCCATTTGGCTCGTCTACCTCTTGGGCACCAGAGAGTAAGGGTAGCATTAGCATTGTGAGTAAACATTAGCTTCATGCTCCGATAGCTGAATCTGAGCAGAAAAGACCGACACCTTCTGCCTTCTAAGCTGAGGTAAKGTTACAAACAGTTACTTATTTATCAGAATGTCTGTATTTTAAGCCAAATTAAGTGTCTCGTGTGCTCTTTTTTCCAACTTTAGTCAGCCTTCACGTTACAGAAGGCTAAGGTATGTCTATGTAATAGAATTTTCTGAGACAATGAACTTTGGTTTTTCATTTTTTTYCMRKWARRRGKTTTTWWTTWAWWWWAWTTTTKGRMCMAAAAAATCGCAATATATYGCAATATATATCACCTTTGCTTACAGTATCGCAATATATCGGGATATATCGTATCGTGACCCGTCTGTCATGTTATGTATCGTTTTGCCAAATTCTTGCCAATACACAGCCCTATTAACCAGTGACCAAAAACCTGTTTCTTAGTTAACCACAGGAACATCACAAGCTGGAGGATGCATTGGCAAATAGTTTATTCAAACTATAATAAAAACTAATACTAGAACTAATGTAAACTAAACTAAACTAAAACTAAGCAATAAAAATGAAATAACTAATAAAAACTAGCAAATCCACTGTAAAAACTAATTTAAAAAAGTCTAAATGAAATAAAACTAAACTATAATGACAAAAACAAAACTATTATAACCTCGGTACTGATACTAGAGCTAAACCCAAATTATTAATGTTTTTTTTTTATTTATGTGTAGTGTTTTAGTTGTGAAGTTATTATTCCGGTTAAAAGACATGTAAATACATTTCACAGCAGTTTTATGCAGCCTACCCAGACTGGGAAGGATGCGACCCAGCTGGGCTACGTGCTCACGAGGACCCAGCCCATGATTTGGGACACAGCCAGTGTCCTGTAATCCTGAGGCTGCAGGTAAAACCCTGGTTGTCTCAGGAAGAGCATCTGACATAAAACAGAATCTTTCATGTGCTTGCTTGCTGTGAAGGAAACATGTTGTATTCCTCTTTTACCTTTACCAAAAGTGCACAACTTATCAGAAGTCTATTGTTTTAATCAGATTTAATGGGGGTAATGTCGGTGTCAGAAAGCTGCTCTAAATGTCCACACTTTCTTTAGAGAATAGTGTCTAAAACCCAGAGTAAGAATGAGAGAAACGTGAATTCTTTGCAATAATCATTGTATCATCTAGGACCAAAACTAGCCAAGAGAGAGCAGTCAAAAAAGGAAGATATACAAGTATTTTAATACTATAACCTTGTGTTTTCTTCATTAATGTGTTTCTGATCTAGTTTGAGGTTTATTTGTTGGTTTTTCCTCTTTCCAGAAAATTCAGAGGCCCCAGATCTGAAGCAGTTCTTTGACCAGTACTATTCTCATATCTACTATGTCTTCTTTGAAAACTTTGTCACCATTGAGGTCAGCCTCAAGCAGAAAGGTACGTTTTTATCGTTGCTTGAAATCTAAAGCTGTTTATTTTCAATCAAGGATGCTTCTGTGTGTATACAGACATCATAAATCATCATCAGGAAGTGTGTTTTTGGGCTGTTTTSAAGCTGCTCTTGTGTTTTCCAGGTCATAAGTCTCAGAGGGAGGAGCTGGACTCAATCCTCTTCATCTTTGAGGTGACAAAAACTTACGAACCTCCTTACACTTTWAAAAAAAAGGTTTTATTTTGTCATTACACTTCTGGAATCAAATGGCTTAAAGCAAGATTTAGCTTAGTTAAAATCTTGTTTATGTGGAAGCCTAAAGGTTAATGTTTTTTGTTTTAGGACTGAACATTTAAGTTTATTTGGATTCATTACAGCTACAGGAAAGAGTGACTAAATCACTGAGGTACTTGTGATTCCACAAGCTCAGGCTTTCTGTATGTGGTCTCGGGCAGGACCGTAACACCAGCTGGCACGGATCCCAGACTTTCTTAGACTGCTGGCATTTGGCAGTGGTGCTGTGGAGTACCAAGCAGAAGATAACAGATGTTTGTGTAACCTCCGTTTGCTCTTTTACGCTTCTTAAAATTCTGAGCAGCTCTGGGAAAACACGAGTTAAATGGGAATTAGGACCTGTTTAGTGTGCTAATGTTATGAAAATAATAGGTCCGTTTATAATTCAAGGCTGGAGTAATAAACCTGACCGAGAATGTGAGGGACCTCTTATAAGGCAGTTGTAACAATATGTTTTTTTTTTTTTGTCATTTAGAAAATACTTCAGCTTCTGCCAGAGAGAATCCAGAGCCGTTGGCAGTTCCACAGCATCGGTAACTTCCCSTCTCGTCCTCATCAATTCTGCTGCTCATTTTGAAGTTCATATATGTAATGTTGAAAAAACAGCCATTTTAAAAAGGTTTTCAGTGTCTGGATTTGTCATTGTGCATGCTGGATCATTTTGTTGTTTGAACCGTGATGAGATTTGATTTGATCCATGGATAAATAAAACAGGCTGTTTGACTTGTTTCTCTATCAGGGTTAATTCTCAAGAAGTTGTTGCACACTGGAAACTCCCTAAAGGTACCGATTTAACTTTATTTTAATGTTTTTTCTTACGTGTCAGCTTTAAATCCTAATCTGAACTGATACTTAATTGTTTCTTTTTTTCCTTTTCTTTGTATTTTGTAGATTCGTCGTGAAGGCGTGTGCTTGTTTTTGTTGTGGATGCAGGCTCTGCAGAGCAAYGCAGAGCACGAGCAGCTCTGCATGTTTGCGTGTTTGATCCCTGGTTTTCCTGCTCCGGTCTGTCACGGGTCCCCTCGGACACTGGACACTCTGATCAACCCGCCGCTGAGTCTGACTGAGAGTTAGTTCAACAAAAACACCCACAGACATGGAGCTTTAGCAAGTGTGACTATGTAGTTACGCAGTAATGTGCCGTGTCAAACGTTGAACTGATGTCCTGATTCTTCCTCTGCAGCTCAAGTCACTCCTGAAGAAATCACACCGTTAGTTGCTCCTCAATCAGGAGACAAAAACCAGGAAGATCTCACTGCTTTTTTTCTGGAAGCTCTGCTGAAATACATGGTAAACCAGGTATTATCATCGTTTTTTTACTAACACGATTAACGCAACGTCACCACACTGTCAAAAATCTTGCAGTGCTTTACTAATGCAACTAAAACTAAACACACGGGTTCAACAAAGCTACTCGTCAGGTTCAAGTTTAAATCTGCAGTATCAAGCACATTCCTTTCTGGAGTCATTAACTGCTTAAAATGCACTTTGCCTCTTTTTTTAGCACAAACTTTGTGCTTCTATTTCCTTTGCTTGCTGCTGTCACTCAGTCACTCATGCAAGCATTCACACACTGATAACATTCTCCTCTTGAAACAATGGGGCTCTTCTCCGCTTGTTCCTATTTTGTTTGCCCTCTTTATGACACAAGGTTTGTGTGTGTGTGTGTGTGTGCGTGTGTGTGTGTTTTCCGACCAGGCAAAGTCTCTAGAGTGGCGATGTAAAGAGAACCACGAACGTGGCTTCAACTTCCTCTTTGGCCATTTTAGGAAGTTCTACCTTCCTCACATATTTCCCAACTTCGCCATGGAAACAAGCCTTTACAACCCTATTTTAGGTCAGTTCTACAACGATGCTGTAAAACCTGCTGGAGCTGTAATGAGATGGTTTGTTTGTGTATCTAGCGTGAAAAAACAAACAAATGTCTTTTCCCCACAGACGTCCCTCCGATGCGTCCTAAACCGTACTACAGCATGGTGCGCCGAGAGCAGGACGCTGGTGAACCTCAGTTCTGCACCAAAGAGAGTTTCCTTCAGGCCCGAGTCATCTTCATCCGCTGGCTGGTTTCCTTCTGGTTGGAGCCTCGGCCCAACGCACAAACACACATCCCAGGAACGGAAGGAGAAAATGTCCCAAAAAACATACAGGTGTGTCACAGTTTTAATGGTCTCACCTTATCAAAAAGAAAAAAATTGTGTAGGTCTTCTGAACGGGTTCTTCTCTAATGAAACGTTTCGTCTCTCCTCCAAGAGACTTCTTCAGTCTGAGAGTTTCAGGCAAAATTCAGGCTTTTAAGCCCTGCCTCCATGTGACTGATACTCACATCACATTGACACCTAATTAACACTTATTGTTAACAGGGGGTGGAGTAATACTGGCAATGGCCGCGCTGTAGGAGGGGGACAACTGAAAACGGAGGCCTCCACCTCTGTTTAATGATGGACGGTCTTTCTTCACAAAAATGGCTTCTTTTACTCCTCTCTCAAACCAACGTTCCTCTCTATCAAGAATGAGAACATCCTCATCTCTGAAAGAGTGACCGCTGGCCTGTAAATGAGTGAAAACTGCAGAGTTCTGGCCATTAGATGTAGCTCGTCTGTGTTGGGACATTCTTTTGAACAGTGGTTGCTTTGTTTCCCCGATGTATAACTGGTCGCAGTCCTCCTGGCACTTAACAGCATATACAACATTGCTCTGTTTGTGCCGGGGCACCGGATCTTTGGGGTGAACCAGCCTTTGCCGTAATGTGTTTTGGGGTTTGAAAGCCACTGGGACATCATGTTTAGAAAATAAACGTCTCAGTTTCTTTTCTAAACATGATGTCCCAGTGGCGAAAATTTTCATTAGAGAAGAACCCGTCCAGAAGACCTACACAATTTTTTTCTTTTTGATTTTTTTACCTGGATTACTGAGATGCATCAGGTCTCACCTTATCTTTTTAAAGAATAACTGTGTTTAAAAGGGCTGAGTGGTATGACCTCAAATTCATATCAGGGTATAAATTCAATCCCTTCATGGTAACGGTATATATCGCCGTAGAAAATTATCATAAAAAGTAAAGATAATATAATTTTTAGAGCTTTTATTTTACAGAAAACTTTAATCATACTCAAACCCAGCATTTTTGCTGTATTGCAAATGAACATAACAGAAGTACAGAAGAATGCTTTATATATATTGCAAAACGGTTTCAACAACAAATGAAAACATTTCTCAAATTTTCAACAATATCAAAATAATGTAGATGTTATAACTAGGGATGCACGATATATTGGTAKTGATATCGGTATCGGCCGATATTGGTCATTTTTTTAGAATATCTGTTWCGGTCCGATATGTAAAACTGAGCCAATATTAACATCCGATATTGATTTTCCACGTTTTAGCTTTAGTTTCTGTTTTGGGAGTGGAGATGGTTGGTTGAGTGGCATCTGTTTGATCATGATAGTTATGTTGATGCTGCGTAGCCAAGAATAACTGAAGTAGGGAGACATGTCAGAGGTCTGGTCGTTTATTTACGGTATCAAAAAAAAGACCCAAGTGTGTTTCTGTAATATCAGTAAATATCGGTTATCGCCCAAAATAGCAATAATTATATCAGATATCGATATCGGCTGAAATTTTCATATCAGTGCATCCCTAGTTATAACCAGTACTTCAAGTAAAATTAGTCACTTAGACATAAAAAAAATTCTAAGTTGCCTAAAATGTTATGGCAACAGGACTTTAAGGAGCTTAAGCTGCACATAGTCCTGTCATAAAACTATTTCAGATAACTGGAATGTAAGTGTGGTGAAGCCAAATAAATGTAATATCTGCTTGCCATACAATGAGCTTCTGCCTGTTGAACTTATCCTCTGCTGCTGGATGGATTTATGACTGAACGAACATCCACGTCTTTTTTTATCATCTCTGTGGGTAACAATGCATAAAAAACAAGTTTTTTTTGTCTCCCACAACTTTGGTGGGAAAAAACTTTGGTTGTTAAAGCTTCGCTCTGCACGACGTGCAGCGGGAGGGATGGAGGAAATGATCCCGTGTCCTGCAACATGACCTAACATTTCTACAGTGGGAGGGGGAAATTTTGAGGATTTATTCTCTCTCTCTCTCCTCTTTACCAACTCCTCCTGCTCAGTTGTCTCTGCACTCGTTGCCMTGTTGACACAGGTGCGATGACGTAACTGATGATAGGACGGTAGAGGGTAAATTTGTACCGTAGGCCAACTTCATATCGTTTCTACCGTCTATCTCATATATTGTGCAGCCCTAGTTTAAACTAGAAGTTTTTAAAACATACAAAAAAATCAATACCTTTTTGTCTCAACCGACCCAGCGAGCAGCAGCTGGACTGGCTGCTCGGTCTGCAGGCAGCTCCGACGACAGCGGAGGAGGAGGACTTCGGTCCGAAAGTCACCTGGAAGGAAGCGGTAGCTCCTTGGGGCCAGCAGGAGGTGGTCTGGGCGCCTGCGGGGGTCCAGGGGCAGAACCGGAACAAAGCCACTCCAACACTTCCACGCTGACGGAGAGAGAACCCAGCTCCTCCTCGCTCTGCTCCATGGACGAAGAGCAGCTGACAGACATGGAGGTGGTGAGGAGAGTCCTGACCAACTCCAGAACCAGCGTCAACTTCATCATTGAGATCTTCAGACAGGTGAAGGAGAAATCTCATCATGCTCAAGAAAAAAAATATGGCTAAAAATGTTTGTCAGTAAACAAGTTCTGTTTCCACCTGTGTAGGCATTTCTTCTTCCGATGTGTGAGGCTGCCGCGATGCGAAAAGTGGTCCGTGTTTACCAGGAGTGGATCTCCATGGAGGACAAACCCGTGTTTATGAAGGATCCCGATGAAGGACCCTATCCTGTACCTGCTGCTACCACCAGCCTGGATTCAGGCTCTCAGCTTGGAGATAAAGAAGACGAGGTAAACRTCCCGAAACCTGTAATTTATCACAATATTCACAAAAATAGTTACAGAAATGGTGCCTGTATTGTTACTTTTTTTCAGGGAAGGAACAAAGAGATTGAGAGTGAAATGCTGGAATATTGTGTTCATGCTGGAGCTCAAACCACACTACAAGTAGGATTCTCTCATTTAAGGGTCCTAAATCTACTGTTCTGTCAATAATCTGATGTTGTTTTTATTTGTTGTTTGTTTTTCAGGTATTTATCACCCACTCTGCTAACGTTTTCCTGCTGGAACCTGCTAATGACATCAAGATCCTTTTAGAGGAGCATGTTGACATGTGCAAGCGAGTCCTGAACATCTACCGCAGCCTCGTCATGCACGAAACTATGGACCAGAAAACATGGTACAAATTAATTCAACCCTCGAAAGTCCTAGTGAATACACATCTGTTTATCTGTCGTTTCTGTTGTTTTTGACTGTAGGGAGCAGATCTTATTGGTTCTGCTGAGAGTGACAGAATCTGTCATGAAACGACCTCCATCCATCATGCCTCACGGCAAGAAGAGCAACACTCTGTCAGGCAGGCTGGCCGGGCCGATATTTCAGGTACATAATAAGTGTAAACAGGTTTTTGTTTTTTTCAGTTTTTATTTTGATTTAAATATTATATATGTATGTGCATATATATATATATA